TTTTTTCATTTTGCTTATATGGTGCTGAGGAATCGAACCCAGGGCCTCAAGCATGCAAGGCAAGCGCTCTACCACTGAGCCATCTTCCCAGCCCAAGAGTACATTTCTTATCAAGCATTGGATATAATGATATTCTATGTGCCAGTATTTGCTTTTCTTCTAGTTGAAGATGGTCACTGTATGACCAAGAACTTAACATCTTGTGTTCCTACTTTAACCGTCTTCTAGAGAGGAAACTGTTATATTTTGGAGGTTCTAAGGGGTCATCTCCAAGGTTCCTTCTAAATCTTTTAGGAATAGTCATTATGTGATTTTCAGGTATGTGAATGTAGCTAGTGGTAGAAACTTGTGTAACATGCCTGAGTTCCTTAATTCCCAGTACAAAAGAAAAAGTTTCTTATTGCTTTAAAAAAGAACTTAATTCATAATTTGGGTTATCCCTTTGAACTACTGTAAAGTTAACACAGAATTTGGTTAAAATGTCTGTTATAGACTATACTAAAAGTGTAGCCTTAATATCAGGATAGTTTCTATAATATTAACCCAGGCTATTTGCTTAACACTATATGCTCAAAGTTGGGTGCTGGTGGCTCACACATGTAAAGCTACTCAGGAGGCTGAGATCTGAGGATCGCAGTTCAAAGCCAGTCTGGGCAGGAAAGTCCAATGAGACTCTTATCTTGAATTAACCACCTGGAAACTGGAAGTGGTACTGTGGCTCAAAGTGTTAGAGCCCTAGCCTTGAGCAATAAAAGCTCAGGAACAGTGCCCAAGTGCCCAAGTCCTGAGTTCAAGCCCACAACCAACAAAAACAATTAATTAATGAAAATATTAAATAAATAAATAATTTTTTTAAAGCTGGATACAATGAAGCATGTCTGTCATACCAACTACACAGGAAGTATAGATAGAAAGTTCTGGGGCTGGGAAGGTGGCTCAGTGGTAGAGCACTTGCCTTGCATGCATGAGGCCCTGGGTTCGATTCCTCACCACCACATAAGCAAAAAGAAAAGATGGAAGTGGCACTGTTGCTCAAGTAGTAGAGTGCTAGCCTTGAGCTGAAGAGCTGAGGGACAGTGCCCAGGCCCAGAGTTCAGGCCTTACGACCAGACCCTCCCCACCCCCCCACCCCCCAATAAAAGGTCTTCATGGTCCAGCCCCAGCAAAAATCAAGACCATCTTTAGACAGGGCTAGGGTGTGGACCCATGTTGAAGAGGGCCTATCTAATAAGCAAGAGGCCCTGAGTTCAAACCCATGTGCCACACATACAAAAAATAAGGAATTAATAGGCCTTATAGGCCTCAAATATTTTCAAGACTAAAAGTTATAGCCATTGACCTTTAAAAAGTCTTATTATAAAAAGGTATATCAAGCCAGGCACTGTTGGCTCACGCCTGTAATCCTAGCTACTTAGGAGGCTGAGATATGAGGATCGTGGTTCAAAGCCAGCCTGGGCAGGAAAGTCTGTGAGACTCCTATCTCCAATAAACCACCAGAAAACCAGAAGTGGCGCTGTGGCTCAAGCAGTAGAGCGCTCACCTTGAGCTGAAGAGCACAGGGACAGCGCCCAAGCCCAGAGTTTAAAGCCCCACGATCGACCAAAAATAAATAAATAAATAAGGTATATCAATCTTTTTTTTTTCTGTTTCTGTTCCTTACCCACTAACATTTTTAAATATTCTTGGTTGTGTTGTCTGTAATATGTATGCATTCAAAGTAAACTGAAATAATTATATTTTAGAATTCAGCTTTTTGTAAAGTCCAGGGCAAATGCTGATGTAGTATAGGCTATAGAGTTCTATTTTTTTATAAAATGAATTGTAAATAGTATATCTGCACTCATTTTAAATGATTGTGAATTTGTATTGCAGAGAAGTCTGAGTAATACTGAAGATGAATGTACCCACCTAAAAGAAATGAATGAACGGACTCAGGAAGAATTAAGAGAATTAGCTAATAAATATAATGGAGCAGTTAATGAGATTAAAGATTTATCTGATAAATTAAAGGTATGTGAATAACCAACCAAAAAGTATATTAATCTAATAGTTCCTAACACACTTAGACATAACTTGATGTTTAGGCATTTCTGGATGGTAGTTGATGTAAATATTTTGTAGTAACTAAAGTAGCTAGTGAAAATAAGGTGATTGTATTCTGTTTGGCCCAACTTCCTTTACTACAGAAGTTTAAAGTTTGAAAAAGTTCATATAATTTTCTCTGATTAGAAATGTAGCTAGTGATTTACTAACAACTGTTAACAGAGGAGAATCAGCAAAACATGATCTTGGATTTTTTTTGAACCTGAAACTGTATATTTTAAAGCCAAAACAAGCCCTGTGGAATCATGGGGAAGTCTGTTTGATCTCTGGTAGCCTTCAAGGATGCTGTTGGTTCTGTTTTAGCTTTCATGTCATGTAGCTGTGGAACATTAATGTCTAATTAATGATCCTTTAAAAATCTAGTAACTGAGAGCTGGGAAGGTGGCTCAGTGGTAGAGTGCTTGCCTTGCATGCATGAAGCCCTGGGTTTTATTCTTCCGTACCACATAAGCAAAAAGAAAAAAGCCGGAAGTGGCACTGTGGCTCAAGTGGTAGAGTGCTAGCCTTGAGCTGAAGAGCTGAGGGACAGTGCCCAGGCCCAGAGTTCAGGCCCACGACTCGACCCCCCCAAAAAAAATCTAGTAACTGAGTTAGTGAAGCCCTATCTTAATACAATTCAAATCATGGATTGAATTGACTGTCTAGAAAATTCACATTTCTTAGAAAAGACCAAATCATACTTCTCTTGTGGTATGGTTAGTTGACCTATTATAGTTTTAAAATTAGACTTTTTAAAGGAATATCTTTTTGAAAAGAGCTTGAACCATCAACCTTTTAGCTAAAGAGTTTTGTTAAAGAATTCACGTGTTGGTAGCTCATGCCTGTAATCATAGCTACTCAGGAGTCTGAGATCTGAGAATTGTGGTTTGAAGCTAGCTAGGCAGGAAAAGTCCAGGAGACTCTTATCTCCAATTGAGCACTATAAAGTTAGAAGTGGAACTATGGCTCAATTGGTAGAGGTCCAGCCTTGAACACAAAAGCTAAAGGACAATACCTAGTCCCTGAGTTCAAGCTCCAGGACAGGCATATATATACATACATAAATTTTCAGAATGTTACATTTTAGAGATTAGAAACAAATTGAGACAATAGTAATTTTAGTTTAAAATCTCCTTACATAAAAACTGGAATATATCACTTTGACCCTTTATCTCTCTTTATATTGAGTTTGTTGTGTTTTTTTTTGTTCTAAGTGCTTTTGAGGAGTGCTTGCAGTGTCGATCATTTTTTACATCAACACTATCTATATATGTCTCTCATCTTTGTTCAGAAAACTATCTTTATAAACACTTCATAGAACTTCCTTAGAAGTTGTTTTTTTTGGGTGGGGGGTCAGTCCTAGGGTTTGAACTCTGAGCACTGCTCCTCAGCTCAAGGCTAGCACTCTACCACTTGAGCCACAGTGCCGCTTTCAGTTTTCTGAGTTATTTATTGGAGATAAGAGTCTCACAACTTTCCTGCCCAGGCTGTCTTTGAACTGCGATCCTCAAATCTCAACCTCCTGAGTAGTTAGGATTATAGGCATGAGTCACCAGTGCCAGCTCTTAGAAGTTTTAAGTGAATAAAATCAGTCCTGGCTTAGACCTTTTATTACAAGGCCAAATTTTATTAAATATTTAAAGAAGATTTCTCCTTCAACAGGTAGCAGAGGGAAAACAAGAGGAAATCCAACAGAAAGGACAAGCTGAGAAAAAAGAATTGCAACATAAAATAGATGAAATGGAAGAAAAAGAACAGGAGCTCCAGGCCAAAATAGAGGCTTTGCAAGCTGATAATGATTTCACCAATGAAAGGCTCACAGCTTTACAAGGTAAGTTAGCTAATCCAGGGATTGGTTCAATTTGACTTTTTTTTTTCCTTTTTGTCTGTGAAATACCTTTTTCTTGGACTTTTATTTACAGTACGGTTAGAGCACCTTCAGGAGAAAACTCTTAAAGAATGCAGCAGCTTAGGTAGGTGTCATCCATATTTCTTATTTAAAGCTGAAATTTTCATGAAGCTTTTGACTTTATTTACATCTCACATTGGTTACTTAATTTCTTTAAAGATGTTTTACATATTAGGCATAAAACAGCTATACTTAGAAAATTTCCTTATGGAAGGTACTTTATTGCCACTAGTGGGCACCATTGTTTAGTGCTTAAGATGAATGAAAATTCTGCACTAGATGTTCTTAAATCCATGAACAGCAGGACCTTTTACCCTGGAAGCCCACTAGGCCTGAATTAATAGAAAATGGCAAGTTGAATCTTTGTATAAAAATAAGCATAAAGTTTTCTATCCAATCTTAATGTGAGTAACAATACAAATACCATGGTTTCATTTGAAACCAGTTTTAAAGTAATTAAATTATTTGATCAGGCAATGATACACTGTCTTAATCCTAGGGATACAAGTTGATGACTTCTTACCTAAAATAAATGGGAGCACAGAAAAAGGTAGTGTAAAAAACTTATTTTTTAAAAAATTTCATGATATCTTTTTACTATTTCAACAGGATAGGAAACTAAGCATTTTAAGTATTTGAAATGAAAAGCAATCTCTTCAAACCACTGTATTTTAAAATCAGGCATCTTTTAACAAAAGACTTACTGCTGTGATGTATTCTTGGATATCCCTTGCTATATGGAAAATGAAGTTTAACCATAAGAGTGGTGAATATAGCCCCCTTTCAAAGAGCAATACTACCACTTTATTCCATCAAGCTACATTTCCAAATCCCCTTGTATAATGTATTAATGAGCCTAACAATCCATTGAGACATAGACAGATTAAAAATTGCCTTTTTCCTCCATAGTTGTAAATAATGTTTTCATATTTAACCATCTTCATCCTCCTTGTTAGGTAATCACAGAACCTGGTTTTTTTTGTTTTGTTTTGTTTTGCCAGTCATGGGGCCTGAACTTGGGGCCTGGGCACTGTCCCTCAGCTCTTCAGCTCAAGGCTAGCACTCTACCACTTGAACCACAGCGCCACTTCCAGCCTTTTCTGCTTATGTGGTCCTGAGGAATTGAACCCAGGACTTCATGCATGCAAGGCAAGCACTCTACTACTGAGCCACCATATGTATGTTTCATTGATCAGAGAGAATGAGTGCTTTCTGTCATAGAAAAATCCTTAGTTTTTGGTTCTGTAACCCTTTTTTCCTGGGTAGCATGGGTTCTCTCTTGCTACAAATTTAGATGTTTGGTGTATTAAATGAATAAAAGTGTTTTCTTTGTATACTCAACTATGTATATTCAACTATATATATATATATATATATATATATATGTATATACACTCATGTTATGGTTTTATTCATTCATTCATTTACTTTAGTGCTAGAAATCAAATATAGTACCGTGGATATCCTAGGCAAATGCCCTACTACCACTGAGCAACATCTCTAGCTTCCTCCCCTCTCTCTCTGGCAGTATTGGGGTTTATAGTCAGGGCCTTACACTTGCTAGCCAGATGCTTTTCTGCTGAGCCATGCCTCTAGATAGCATCTAGTTTTTTTTAAACACAGAAGTTAGTGGACAATATCAAGATTGATATCAGAATTTCCTATTAAATATTTTTTCATGTATCAGGGGATATCTTTATAGTTCTTTGGCATCAAACTCTGATCAAGTTAGAAAATGATTTCTTTTATTTTTGTTTGTTTGGTTTGATTTGGTTTTAATCAAGAACTAGAAAAACAGGTTCAGCTAATCCTGTATATGTGAGCTGGTAAGGTTTAAGACTGATATTACATATGTAATGAATTTTAAGTCTCTAAAAAGTTTTTCTAGAGCCAGGTGCCAGTGGCTCACACCTGTAATCCTAGCTACTCAGGAGGTTGAGATCTGAGGATTGCAGTGCAAAGTCAGCCCAGGCAGGAAAGACTGTGAGACTTTTATCTCCAATTACCCACCAGAAAACTGGAAGTGGCGCTGTGGCTCAAGTGGTAGAGCACTAGCCTTGAGCTGAAGAGCTGAGGGACAGTGCCCAGGCCTACAGTTCAAGGGCCATGACCGACCCCCCCCCCCAAAAAAAAAGTTTCTCTAATAACTACATTTGTCTTTTCTTCATATAGTTTATAAAATGCAATCTGAATATCGATTTTAGAATTTTAAAGGTGTAGTTTATATTCATAGTCCCAAATTATTAGATGCTGTTCATTAAACATATTTAATGTACATAAAATGAGTTAATCCTTTTCTTTGAACTTCTTTGACTGATTCTGTATCTTCTGATACTATTTGTTCATTTTTTTTTCTTTTTCTTCCTGGCGTGTGCACTTTTAAATTAAATCTGTCACTCTTGACCTGAATATGTGTTTATTACAGTGTTAGTGTTAACTGAAAGAGAGAACTTTCTATTTGTTCAGTTAAGAGAATTTTTTTTGAGTGGGGGAAGGTTCAGTCATACAAGAGGATATTTTTATATATACAAAAGCATGTTCTTATTAGAGTTGTCAAAATACTGTGTAAAATTTTTGCCAGTTACAATTGATTTTGAAGAATGGTAGTAGACTTTTATATTGTAGTCTCTTAATTTATGATTAAATGGAGCCACTTAGATAGTTAATGGATACTCGTTGCTATAGTTTCTCTTACTAATATATTTGGAGATGTTTTGTTGGTGGTAGAGTAGTATGAAAATGACTAAATAGATCCTTTTAAGGAAACTTAATAGGACATTTTTAAATATACACAGATTCATTGTACCAGACTTAGTTATAGAGTAGACATTCGAATAAGATGGATTATTTATTCCATTGGGAACCACTTAAATAATAACAAATACTAAGCATGCCAGAATTATTCAAAATAACATAGCCATAATATTACATGATTTTTTGAACTAAAATTTCTCTTTAAATGGCAGAAAGAACACCAGATATAATTCATATAGTTCATAAGAAGATATTTCAAAAATGTCTAGAGACAATACTTTTTGCAGTGAACTCCTTTTCTGAAATTACTTAAATATACTAAAGCTATAAACTACACAGATTTTGTGCTAGGAATTTTTTGTATCTTATTTAATAAAATAAGCATAATTCAAGTATATCTTAATATAGAACAATGCTAAGAGAAATTTAATTAGAGTCATGGGTATCATTTTAAATGTTTGGTAGCCACATTAAAATTTACAGAGAGAATACATGCTTGTTAACATAGTTATGCAAGAGGTAAACACAGGAAAATTGCTGTTTGAGGACAGCCAGGCAAAAAAGCTAGGTAGATCCTAACTCAGAAACCAGTCTATACCCTGGGTGCCAGTGGCTCACGCCTGTAATCCTAGCTACTCAGGAGGCTGAGATCTGAGGAACGTCTGTGAGTTTAACCACCAGAAAACCAGAAGTGGCGCTGTGGCTCAAGTGATAGAGCATTCACCTGGAGTTGAAGGGCTGAGGGACAGCGCCCAGGCCCAGAGTTCAAGCCCCATGATCAATAACAACCAAAAAAAACAAAAACAAAATATAATCTGGGAGCGAGGCACTGATGGCTCATGCCTGTAATCCTAGCTACTCAGGAGGCTGAGATCTGAGGATCATAGTTCAAAGCTAGCCCAGGCAGGAAAGTCCATGAGACTCTTATCTCCAATCAACTACCAAAAAACCAGAAGTGGAGCTGTAGCTCAAACTGGTAGAGCACTACCCTTGAGCACAAAAGTTCAGGGACAACACCCAAGCCCTTAGTTCATGCCCTATAACTGACCAAAAACAAACCCAACAAGCTAGGTATGCTGGTGTATACTTATAATTCCAGCTATATAGAGGAGATGGAAGTAAAAGGATTATGTTCCTAAGCCTACTCAAGTAAAATCATGAGACCCTACTTGAAAAACTGAAGTGGAGCTGGGCACCATTGGCTAGCACCTGTAATCCTAGCTACTAAGGAGGCTGAGATCTCTGAGGATCGCAGTTCAAAGCCAACCTGGGCAGGAAAGTTTGTGAGACTCAACCACCAGAAAACTGGAAGTAGCACTGTGGCTCAAGTGATAGAGCGTTCAGCTTGAGCACAAGGACAGTGCCCAGGCCCAGAGTTCAAGCCCCACAACCAAAAAAAAAAAAAAAACAGAAGTGGAAAAGAAGTTGAATTGTGGTTCAAGTAGTAGAGGCCTTGAATTCAAACCTCAGTGCCACCACAAAACAACAAAAACAACAAAATATATAAAGGGAGCTGGGTGGTGGTGGCTCAGGCCTGTAATCCTAGCTACTCAGAGGGACAGCGCTCAGGCCCAGAGTTTAAGCCCCATGACCGACCCCCCCAAAAAAAATTTTTTTTAATATATATATATATATATAAAGAAACAGGCAAATAAAACAAATTTTAATAATATGTTTAGTTAATTCACAATATCTAAAGTGTTAAACAATATTTTAAGATTATTAATGAAATATTTCATAGTAATTTTACTTAAGTGCTTGAAAAAACCTTATAGCATATCTCTGTTCAAACTAACTACATTTGAAGATTAGATATTCTAGGTGTTTAAAAAACAAACAAACTACAGGGGGGCTGGGAAGGTGGTTCAGTGGTAGAGCGCTTGCCTTGCATCCTGAGGCCCTGGGTTTGATTCCTCAGCACCACCTAAGCAGAAAAAGATGGAAGTGGCACTGTGGCTCACACCTAGAATCCTAGTTACTCTATGCACTAGCCTTGAGCTGAAGAGCTGAGGGACAGTGCCCAGGCCTAGAGTTCAGGCCCCATGACTGACAAAAAAAAAACCAAAACATCGCTGGTGGTTCACACCAAGAATCCTAGCTACTCAGGAGGCTGACATCTGAGGCTCATGGTTCAAAGCCTGCCAGGGCAGGAAAGTCCATGAGACTCTTATCTCCAATAAACCACTCAGAAAACTGGAAGTGGCACTGTGGCTCAAGTGGTAGAGTGCTCGCCTTGATCTGAAGAGCTGAGGGACAGTGCTCAGGCACAGAGTTCAAGCCCCAATACTGACAAAAAAAAACCCAGAACTACAGGAAACTCACATGTAATAAAATACACTTGAAGTAGAGTGGTGGTTCACTATGCTTCCATAGTTGTTTATTTTACCCTCTTTTAACCCTATCCAGAATCAGACCACCTCTCTTCCATCCCATAAATACCTGCTTCCCTTTGAACTCTATCAATGGCATGCATTTTTTAATAGTTCTAGTGAGTGAACTCCCAAAGGCCTGAATTCAAGTAATAGAAAACTGTCACCAGCAAAATCCTTTACATATAAACTAACTGTAAGACTTTTATGTGCATTAAAAAGTCTTTGTAGCCGAGGCCAGTGGCTCATGCCTGTAATCCTAGCTACTAAGGAGGCTAAGATCTGAGTATCTCAGTTCAAAGCCAGCTTAGGCAGGAAAGTCTATGAGACTCTTTTCTCCAATTAACCACCAGAAAACTGGAAATAATGTTGTGGCTCAAGTGGTAGAGTGCTAGCCTTCAGCTGAAGAGCTCAGGGACAGAAGCCA